CGATCGGCATGTACCAGGGGACCCCCATGTACACCATCTCGTTGGCGATCGCAGCTACCATCAGCAGCGGGATGGGCAGCCTCGACCGCTCGGGCGCTACCTTGCAGAACCCGATCTGGGCCCGCCGCGCCCGCTGCAGCTCCACGCCCGACTTCGACACGTCGAGCCAACGGAAGGCGGCCGCCGCCCTCGTCTTGCTGAAGTCGCTCGCTGAGTGGCCCTCGAAGAAGAGGAAGGTCGAGTACCTCGCCAGCGCTGCGTCGCGCTGCGCCAGCGTCCGCAGCTCCAGCTGCTCGGCCGCCGCCCAACGCTCGAACTCGTCCATCAGAGTGTTGTACAGCGCCTCCACGGGCTTCGACACCGAGCGGGCCTCCAGGAAGGTGCGGCCCTTCGAGGACTGGTAGGCCTTCGCCTCGGACTGGCGTGTCCTCCTCTGGGCGGCCCGCTTGGCCTTCGCCTCGGCTGCTGCTGTCGGCCTCCGAGTCGCTGAGGTCGCAGCGGCCGCCGCTCGGCTGAGCTGCCCGCTGCTCGCCGCGGGCGACGCTGTCGCCGCCAGGGAAGGGCGGCGCAGCATCGCGCTCTGAGTGGCCCCGGTGTCCCACCCTCGGGCTGCCTGAATCGGATCCAAGACGTGGTACGGACCCGAGGAAATGACGATGTAGTACTGATGACGTTGATGGTGGTGCATATATACGTGATGGCTCATCTGCTGGGTTTAGCTCGCTCATGATCCATCGTACGCTTGGCATAACATTGGCTCCGAGACATAGTGCGCTCCATTGTCTGCAGATGCGATTCATAGGTGATGACGACGATCTCCCCTTTGAAAACATCAGAGCGATACTCATAGCGTCGACGATGAACAAAAGCTTTTTGCCAAAGGACCTCCGACGCCGGAGCTGGTGCTTCAGGGCCCAGAGGACCGCCCTAGCCTCGAGCAGGGGCATGCGTTCGGACTTCCACCAGCGGCCAGCAGACACAACTCTCCATTCGCCTTTCATGAGTTCAGGGCTGATTTCTCTGAAGTCTGAGGAAGGGGTACAGCTGTCTGGCCATTGGTTGTCCTTGTCCTGCGATCGCAGCCTGCTTTGCTGCAGCTCGCAGTGCAGTCGAGCCCGGGCGCCGAGCTCCTCACTCTTCGAGAAGCGCCAGCGCTCGCTCACCCGCCCGGCAGCTGCAATGAGCGGCACCGCCCGTTCCCCCTCTACTACGCCGCGGCCCCACGGCGACGCGTCGCTGACACAGACAGTGTCCGACCACGCTGCCCCGAGATCACGACGCAACAAAGGAAGTAGAGAGGACGCCCATTTCAACTCCCTCCTGACGGCAGGCCAGAGTGCAACCTCTCGCTCACGATTCTGGCTGACGAAGGCGTAGACGGCCCCGAAAACTGCCAGGAACTCACGGCGCAGCAAGCCCACGAAGGTGAGGTGGCCTATGATGATCTCGATCACGCGGCCCGACACCCTCGGGCGACGTAGCACCTCCTGAATGCCCAGCCGCAGCCGCCAGAGGCGAAGCCGACTCGGCCCCACCAGGCTGGTGTCGGTCGCGAACTCCCAGCCGAGCGAAGCGCCGCCCTGGCTCACCTCGACCCCGTGGGTGGGGAGCCCCTTTGAGCGGAACAGGGCGTCCACCCGCCGAGCAGCCTCAGCCACAGGGCCTTGCTCGCCAGCGTACGCCACGAAGTTGTCCACGTACTCCGTGTGCACCATCGGCTGCATGGCTGGCACCTCGGCCCCGTCGGACATCCTGTTGGCGGGCGAGATCCCCTCGATCTTGTCCACCATCGCTTCGTGGATGATCTGACAGGCCATCAGCGCTTGATTCCACCCCATCGGGATCACCTTCAAGCATGGAAATACGACCCCGTCACCGTCTCCACCAACGTCGCGGGCTCGAAGGCGAGGAAGGGCGAAATACCCGCGGAACTCGGTCGGGAGCTCCAGCGTGTAAAAACAGTTCACGATGTCCACTCCGCCCAGCCACACGGGCTCGCCTGCGTCGACCTCAAGCATGGCGAAACTTTGGCCCGT